GTTTGTGGGTTATGCTCGGCCACTGGGGGCCGTCGCCCGTCAAAAAAAACACTCGAGACGGAGGACCGCCCTGGGGAAGTGGTTAGCGGGCGGCCAGCCCGCCGCTCGCCCTGGGGGCGAGGAGGAGGAGGAGGAGGAGGAGGCGGCGGATGAGGAGGAGGCGGAGGAGGGGGAATAGGAGGACCGCGGCGCACGCATCGAACAATTGGAGCGGCCGGATGTCTGGGTCCCTGGGATGAGACCCTCTGCCCTGCGAGGCGCGCCGCGGGTCGCGTGCCTGGCGCGGAGAGCCGCGTGGACCCCCCCTCTGGGGGCACGGGCTGCACGTCGCGTCAGGAGAAACAGTGCGGAGCTGGTCGCCCCGTCCCGCGGCCTTGGCGGAGTCAGAGCGCGGGGTCCAGAGAGTGCGCTAAACATCCCTCGTCCTCCTCGTCGTCCTCCTCCTCCTCCTCCTCCTCCTCTCCTCCTCCTCCTCCTCCTCCTCCTCCCTCTTCCTCCTCCTCCCACTCCTCCTCCGCCCCCCCCCCTTCCTATACCACCATTTCCTCCCTCCTCCGCTGCCTCCTCCTTTCTCTCCGAGAGTAGTTCTTAACTGTAAGCGCGGTACCTGACAAGAGTACCAGACTAAAATACCAGACTAAAGCATCAGAATAAAGTACCGGACTAAAGTATCAGACTAAAGTACCAGACTAATGTACCAGACTAGAGTACCAGACCGATCAGACTAAAGTACCAGACTAATGTACCAGACTAAAGTACCTTAGTCTGGTACTTTAACATGATTAGTCTGGTATTTTAGTCTGGTACTTTAGTCTGAATGGTCTGGTACTTTAGTCTGAATGGTCTGGTACTTTAGTCTGGTACCTTAGTCTGGTACTTTAGTCTGATTCGTCTGGTACATTAGTCTGATACTCCCCCCCCCCTTCCTGGACCCCTCCCAAAGGAGGGCTTCGCCCCACCACGATTCCACTCGCTCGTACCTCGCTCTTTCCGTCACCTGGGCCGGCGCGGAAACCGAGAGAACACTGCAGATTCAGAAACTTACCCGCGTCTGTAAGGCTTGTTGAGGTCTTCGTGGTGCCCTGATGGGGACCTTTGGGGGCTCTTTGAGACGGTTTTGCGATCGTCTTGGGCACCCCTCGGCCCTTTTGGGCCGTCTGAGCGTGTGGGAGGCCTTTGGCCGTCTTGGGGCTCCCCCGGTGGCATCTTGGGGCCCTCTCGGGAGCCTCTTGGGACCAGCATTGGCGTGCTTTGGCATGCGTTGGCGAGCGTTGGCACGCATCGGCGCACATTGGCACACATTGGCATGCGTTGGCATGCACTGGCATGCGTTGGCACGCTTTGGCATGCATTAGCATGCAATGGAATGCGATGGCATGCGTTGGCACGCTTCGGCATGCTGTGGCATGCGTTGGCATTTCGTTGGCATGCGTTGGCATGCATTGGCATGCATTGGCATGCCTCGGCATGCATTGGCGTGCGTTGGCATGCATTGGCACGCGTTGGCATGCGTTGGCATGCGTTGGCATTCGTAGGCATGCATTGGCATGCATTGGCATGTTTTGGCATGCCTTGGCATGCGCTGGCAGGCGTTGGCGTGCGTTGGCATGCGCTGGCATGCGCTGGCACGCTTTCGCATGCATTAGCATGCATTTGCATGCAGTGGCATGCGTTGGCATGCGTTGGCATGCATCGGCATGCATTGGCATTTCGCTGGCATGTGTTAGCATGTAATGGCACGCGTTGGCATGCATTGGCATGCATTGGCATGCGTTGGCATGCATGTGCATGCATTGGCATGCTTTGGCATGTGTTGGCATGCGCATTAGTTGGCATGCATTGGCAATGCATTGGCATGCGTTGGCATGCGTTGGCATGCGATGTTGGCATGCATTGGCATGCGTTGGCATGCGTTGGCATGCGTTGGCATGCATGTGCATGCATTGGCATGCTTTGGCATGTGTTGGCATGCGTTGGCATGTGAGGGCATTAGTTGGCATGCATTGGCATGCTTTGGCATGCATTGGCATGCGTTGGCATGCGTTGGCATGCGATGCTATGAATTTGAACGCGTTGGCATGCATTGGCATGCGTTGGCATGCGTTGGCATGCGTTGGCATGCATGTGCATGCATTGGCATGCTTTGGCATGTGTTGGCATGCGTTGGCATGTGAGGGCATTAGTTGGCATGCATTGGCATGCTTTGGCATGCATTGGCATGCCTTGGCATGCGTTGGCATGCGTTGGCGTGCGTTGGCATGCGCTGGCATGCGTTGGCATGCAGCGGCATGCGTTAGCATGCGTTGGCATGCATTGGCATGCATTGGCATGCATTGACATGCGTTGGCATACGTTGGCATGCATTGGCATGCATTGGCATGCATTTGCATGCATTGGCATGCGTTGGCATGCGTTGGCATGCATTGGCATGCGTTGGCATGCGTTGGCATGCATTGGAATGCGTTGGCATGCATTTGAATGCGTTGGCATGCATTGGCATGTGTTGGCATGCATTGGCATGCGTTGGCATGCGTTGGCATGCGTTGGCATGCATGTGCATGCATTGGCATGCTTTGGCATGTGTTGGCATGCGTTGGCATTTCGTTGGCATGCGTTGGCATGCATTTGCATGCATTGGCATTCACTGGCACGCGTTGGCATTCGTTGGCATGCATTGGCATTTCGTTGGCATGCGTTGGCATGCATTTGCATGCAGCGGCATTCAGTGGCATGATTTGGCATGCGTTGGCATGCATTGGCATGCATTGGCATGCATTGACATGCGTTGGCATGCGTTGGCATGCATTGGCGTGCATTGGCATGCGTTGGCATGCATTGGCATGCATTAGCACGAGCTGGCATTCACTGGCATGCGTTGGCATGCCTTTGCAGGCATTGGCATGCATTGGCATGCCTTGGCATGCGTTGGCATTCATTGGCATGCACTGGCATGCATGCAGTGGCATGCGCTGGCACGCTTTGGCATGCGTTGGCATGCATTGGCACGCATTGGTACGCGTTGGCATGCGTTGCTATGCGTTGACAAGCGCTGGCAAGGCATTCATTGGCATGTGTTGACATGTGTTGGCACGCATGTGTACGCGCTGGCATGCAGCGGCATTCATTGGCATGCGTTGACATGCATTGGCATGCTTTGGCATGCATTGGCATGCCTTGGCATGCAGTGGCATGCACTGACATGCATTGGCAGGTATTGGCATGCATTGGCATGCATTGGCAGTGGGCGATGGGAAGGAGGAGGTGATGAAACTGTGGGGAAGAAGAAGAAGAAGGAGGCCATGAAGACGAAGGGGAGGTGGAGAAGGATGTTCTGACTAAGCAGCGGCGACGATGCGGGGGAGAACCAGGAGGAGGTGATGAAAATGAAGGTGAGGAAGATATGGTGTGATGGACAGAAAGACCCCGCTGCAGCACCCCTGCAGGAGAACCCCTCGGAGCAGCAAGCGTTCCCCGACTTCTCAGCCACCCATGTCGGCTGGGTCGCTCCTCTTCCTCCTCCTCCTTTTCCTCCACCTTCCCCTCCTCCTCCTCCTCTCCTCAATCGTGCTCCCTCCTGCTCACCTTCGCCCTTTGCCCTATCCTCCTCCTCCTCCTCCTCCTCCTCCTCCTCTTCCTCCTCCTCCTCCAACTCAGCGTTCTCCTGCTTTGCCAATTGTGGAATCGTCCGAAAGCGTCGTCGTCCCTCTCTTTTTCCTCCTCCTCCTCCTCCCTCCTCCTCCTCCTCCTCCCTCCTCCTCCTCCCCTCCTCCTCCCTCCTCCTCCTCCTCCTCCTCCTCCTCCTCCTCCTCCCCCCATCCTCCTCCCTCTCCTCCTCCTCCTCCTCCTCCTCCTCCTCCTCCTCCTCCTCCTCCTCCTCCTCCTCCTCCTCCTCCTCCTCCTCCTCCTCCTCCCCCCCCCCTCATGCACCTCCACAGCTGTTTCTTCCTCCTCCTCCTCTTCCTCCTCCTGCGAGAAAATCTCTAGCGAAACGCTTTTTGTTGCAGCAAGATCGTACACATACCACAGGCGACTTCGATGTGTTTACTGTTGTCAATCTTCAAGATTATCGAGGAGCGAACCGCCCTAATATTCCATCCATTGTTTTGTGACCATCGACTTCTTGACGATGCTCCTAGCGAAACGCCCAAGACGATGCCGATGCCGGCGATTTGACCATCCCATCTTCAGCGAAACCGTCCTTTTGTGAGAAAAGCGCCATCATCGCCGTCGTCGTTTTCGCATTCATTGGCTGCTTAGTTGAAGAGGATCCTGAGCACCCCTAATCGTTGCACCACCTCCCCCCCCCCGTGGCACCACACCTCACCCCCCCATGGCACCACACCTCCCCTGTGGCACCACACCTCCCCCACCCCCTCCCCCGAGGGAAAAAAGAAGAGACTAGAGGGGGGGGGAAACATACCCTGAGGGGGAAAAAAAGAAGAAGAAGAAGAGAGAGAGAGAAACAGCGCATCCCAGGCCCACCAAGGGCACAAAAAAAAGACTCCGAGGGGAAAAAGAAAAGTCGCCGAGGGAAAAAATATAAAATCGAGGGGAACAAAAAATACTCACACCCCACACCCTCCCCCACCCCTGGGTGGGGGGAAGGGAAACAAAAAAAAGACTCCGGACCCCCCTCCCCCACAACACCGAGGGGGGGAAAGCAAAAATACGAGAGAAAAAAATGAAACCAAACCGGGCCTCAGGATGCCGATAGGAAACTAATTTCGCCCAAGGCCTGGATCCTCGATTCCATCCCGATGCCCCTTTCCCCCTCCCCCTCCTCCTCCTCCTCCTCCTCCTCCTCCTCCCCTCCTCCTCCTCCTCCTCCTCCTCCTCCTCCTCCTCCTCCTCCTCCTCCTCCTCCTCCTCGGGCGGTGTCCTGGGGTGAGTCCTGGCCAAAATTTCGAGGCCGATCCAGCCGTGGCGACGGGGATTCCCCATGATGCTCAACACTGCCCAGAAACCTCGATCCTGGTACCTCGATGTTCGATCTTTTGGGCCTCGTCTGCTCCTGCTTCACGGCCAACTCCTCCGCCTCGAGGTGGGCGAGCAGCTTGGCGGCGTTCTCCTCCTCGTTCTTGGCGTGGGCCTGAGGGCTCCCGCGGGGCTGGCCCGCGGCCGCAGTGGCGGGCCATCGTCGTCGCCAATCGAGGCTCGACGATCGAACTGCGAAGATGAAGGATCGAAGCTCGAAGTGTCTGATTTCTTGGCTCTTTTGGGGCCCTTGGACGCCTCCGGACGCCTTTGGAGGCCTAGAGAGATACCGCAATTTTGCCAAGACCGGGCTGGGGCGACGGGACGACTGGACGACCGGGCGACCAGACCCTGCCCCCCAGCGTCTTAAGAAATTCTTGACGCTCGAGAACGCCAAGAATTTAACTCAGGACGCCATAGAGAACTCAGAACGAACGAGAAAACTCTTAACACGCAAACGAACCCAACTCTAAAAACAAAAAACGACTAAACTAATCCGAAACAATCAAGACGGCCAAAAAGCGGTCGTTGTGGTTGGAG